CAGAATCAGCACTTTAGAAACAGGAGCTGAAATAGAGGGATATGAGGCATGGCTAGAATGGGTGATCTGTTTGGTATTTTGAGCAAAACACTTCATAGACATGTTTTTTATATATTTGTATATATCTGAGACCTAAGCTATTGCCTAAAAATAGCATGATAGGTTTAAAGTTGATGTGTATTAGAAGGCTATGTATCAGCTTTAGCGTTGAGTTTTTGGGGTTGCCGCTTTCTATGCCAGCCAAGCATTTGATAGTCCAGAGTTACTGCTTTATCTTGGAATATTTTACCAACAATATTATAAAGCTTTATGAAAGAACCCAAACACTTTTGAGTATAAATCAATGACACAAAGATAATAATAATACAAAAATCCTGGCATCACCATAGCTGAGTGGTTTAGACACATCATGAAAAAGGATGTTCTAGATATTAGTGAAACCTAAAATGAAGGACATTTTAAGAGACATTCTTTGGATTAAACATATTTGATTGTGCTACCCAAAATCTCTGTTGACTTTGGCCACAGGTGTTCAAAGAAGCCGCAAAACAAGTTGCAGAGATTCAGAAGAATGGAGCGTGATAAAAGAAGTTGAGACCAAGGTGTTAGACCATTCTTTCGTGTGAACAGTTATTTAAAGTCATCAGAGAATAACAATTATAACACAAGAACTGTCCGTACATCCATGGGTAGAACAATTACAGAACAAATCAGAAAGTTGCCTCTTCTTTCTTCATCTAATCTGCAGCTTGATGTTGCTCTTATCAGAAAAAATACACTATGAGTGAATCTACGACACCGGGGTCACATCCACGTCAAAGAAACCACTAAAGAAAATGCCTGAACCAAACCTGAATAGTTATTAAACTGTCAACGGTTTTGAAATGAATTGTGATTCCCTGCTAATGAGCCTGCAAAGCATGCGGGATAAGACACGTGTTGATTTGTAAAAGGATGAAATTACAGTTGACAGCTTAGGATATCACATTTTTCATGTACAAATCAAATTTCTTCATAAATTGTACCTGAGACCATAAAGTAGAGAAACAGCCGTTGTGTCCATTCCAACTTTGTGACTTTGAAGTCGTGATGCATCTTAGACAAAAGGATGTTTGTGTCTCCTAAAAAGACCAGTTGACGTCTCTGATTACAGGGAGATGAAGTTATTAGATAGATAGATGGATAGATAGATTGGGAAATTATTTCAAATATAATTTATTTGATGGTATTCAAAGATATCATAGCATTTATTTTAATTAAAAAACTAAAATTTAAAAAAAGTGCCATATATACAAATTAGACATATTGTGTAGCAACAAGTGTTAACTTTACCTTATTTCCCAGCTTCTAGACGTAAATGCACTGCTTTAAAAGAAAATTGTATACTCATGTGCGATCCTAAACACGACATACAGTCATCCTTCCGTTTATAATTTTTTCAGTTGGAGCTGTGGTGTATTATGCAGTAAGCCCCCCTTTTTCTCACACATTCATTGCAGATGTTAAGACCAACATCTCTGCAACAGGATATGCATACCCACTATTGGCTGTGTACCTGGCTGTGGGGAAGTTGCTGTGTTCTGTGAGTGTTTATTGCCAAGAAAGGTTTTCACCACGTATACATATTGGTATTTTGGTGCATATCAATTAATATGTACAATACAAATATGGAAAACCTACATGTTCCTCAAAAGTTTTGACACAAGTCACAAGTGTTATGTGTGTTTTATATCTTTCCTTAGGCAAGTTCTAGATTTCAAACCATCACTTATGCAAAATATAACAAAAATACATAGGCCTATGCGGTGACATTTTTATTCTTAGGGAAATTTCATATTCATAAAAAGAAATGGGCTGACCACATCTTGAACATATAGTAGCGCTATTAAAAACATTATAAATAAAAAAATGCGATCAAAACTAACCGTGTATTCAACACATATTTAATCTGAAATATGAAACTGTATTTTGTTTTCCTTTATTTATTTGAAGGCATTGTTTACTACCACTGGCCTTAACTTCTATACAAAGTGGTATATGATGTTCATATACAGCAGGGATGTCCAAACTACGGCCCGCGGCCCTGAGCTAATTAAAAAAGTATAATGAAATATAGCCCACAGATTAAACGTGTGCTTGTCTTATATTGTACTTCTTAAATATAGATGAAAACAGTTATTACACAGTATTCATGTGTTAAGAAGCCCACTTTTTAAACAAATTCAGTCAGTTAAATTTGAAAATGTTTTCTATCAAATATAAGTCGATAAGTAAAAAGCCCAATGACTTATTTTCATAAGACGCTTGAAATAAACCCTTACTAATTCCTCTTATGATAAGCAATCTGAGGCTTCTGTTTTAAGGAATGAGTTGCTATCAAAACAATTGAAACCCTATGGAGAGCTGTGATAGGCTGTAGTTTTTCTTAAAGCATATTCAAGTATTAAGCATAATTTACCTACATTTTATTCATTTTGCTGACTTATAACTTAACTTATGAGGCAATATACCTCACCTCAGTGGCCCAGCACCTCGTATATTTTTCTACATTTGGCCCTCGGTGAACATTTTTTGGACACCCCTGATATTATGTTCTTGATTAAAATGAGATGAACTCCATTACCCATACAACCCTCTGTCAGCGTCTGACGTCATAACGGAAGGCATACTTCAACATGGAGGACATCGTAGCCGTAGAAAAGAGCCCGGTATGAATTAGTGGGATTGTTTCCTGTTTTTCCTCTTAAAATTGACAGAGTTTCTGTGGTAGGCTTTGGTACATTTAAGAGTTTGAGTGTTGCTCTCTGTTGGTGTTTGTCGTAGTTTTTTACCATTAGTGTGCTCGTTAACCCTGCCGAAACGTAAACCTGCCAATTCATTCTCTACTCGATGTAACGTTACGTTAGTTGCTATGTCATGCAAGTTAGCTGCTAGCGTTAGCCTAATGTTTGTAGAGCTCGGGAAAGAGGATTTACTTTTATGTATGTTGATCGAGCTTTAATCGCTAAACATTAATGTTCTAGATTATGTTTTTATTATTCACCGGTGCTTCGCAAATGTCCTTTTTACATAGTCTATTTAGGCGTTTGCAAGCCATTAATATTAGCTAGCTGTTAACGAGCTAACTGTAGCTAAGCTAGTGTTTGTCTCTGTTAGGTGCACGGTCATAACCGAGTTGTTGTTTATTGTCAAGTAATTGTTATCTTTTTAGTTTGGGGTAATTTTAGTGGTATTACTATTCATGTTTTTATGGTCTTGTGATCTAACTCTTTGTTTGTTTGTTTTTGTATAACTTGTTTTCAATTATGTTCCCCAATCTTTATTTGTACTTATTTTAATTTTAATGTATCTTGTCTTGATCTGTAAAGCACTTTGGGCTGCATCTTGCACAGGTGCTATATAGATACATGTTATTATTATCGTACATTTTACTTGTTAACTTGTTACAGAGCTGAGAGCATTCTCTCAAATAAATATGACCTATTATCCAGTTTTTTTGGGTGAAATAGAGAACAAGCTCTTCCCTGATGGGGTGATGTTAAAAACAAGACATTTATTGTGTTTTTGTGGTGTTGTCATCCCTACAGGAAGAGATGCCTGCAATCCTGACCTCCAGACCCCAGACAGGCCTGTCCTTCCTGGCACCTGAACCAGAGGACCTCGAGGACCTTTACAGCCGATACAAGGTCTGACACCTGCTTATACATTC